TTTCTTGTGTGCGTGTCTTAGACAACACTTTTGCACTTCTGGGAGAAAACATCCCACACCATGGCAGCCATCCATGAGAGCTTCAAGGGCTGTCAGCATTATGAGTTCTCTACAATTAAGGTCTGAAAGAGTCTCAGTAATAACAGTACTAAATGCTGACACTGGAGACATGTAATGACAATAAGCGATGATTTTGTTCCAATTATTGTTCCAGACTTTACAAGACCCTGTGGACAAACTGGCTAAAAAGAAGGGGAAAAATAAAGTCAAGGCAGAAACGGAAGAAGCAAAGAAAGAAGAAACCACAGACGACCAGTGAGCTTCAAGAAATATCTATTGTTATGCAAGAAAACCAAACGCGTACGAAAAACAGTGAAAATGTCGAGTACATGTATGGGCAATGTTCAGTCTGAACAGAGACAAAGAATTTCTGCAAGCCAGCTGTAGGTCAGCCTGACTCATCCCCGAGGCATCAACTAAGGCTGTTTTCTTAAAGCCACTGGTATGTCTCGTTTACGCAGACTGTTTCCTTAGGCGGCGGTGTGTGATGCAACAGGTTATGGCATTAGTGTGAAATGGGTGTAACTCCAAGCCCATCAGGATTATGGTTGTGAATGGGTGTACTTTAACCTAAACCACAATTATGCCCTAACCTAACCAAGCAGTTTTTAGGTCCTACACCCAACCAGCAAAAAACAAAACAAACTACCACGCCATGACTTCCTAGCTGACAGCGCCACGGATTCAACATCCTAGCACATACTTTTAGGTCTCTAAAAACAGAGTCAATGTCTCCTGATTGGTGCCAATGACAAAAGGACAGGTAGCACCTGAGAAAAACTGATCTATTGAAGGCCCACTGAGGACACACTGTATGTCACCTATGAACAAAATGCTATAAGCTTAATTTCTGTTTCTTTACAGACTCATCTCTCTTGTAAATGAAAACACCAGCGACAAGGCGAGAGAAGGTAAAAGATGTAAAACTTGAAGATTTAATTGTGTTTTTAAATTGCATTTTAGGTTGAAAATAATAACTGACTTCATTGTTAAATAATCTGATTATATGGAAAATAACAAAACTAAGAACAGATGGGACCTATTATCAATCCTGGCACTAATTTTTCTACAGTTCAGGGTTACAGCAAGGATGGAGCACTTGTTAGAAGCAGAGGGTGACCTGAAGGCCCAGCATAAAGATGTAGTGCAAGATGAGCAAGGATTATTTTGAACTGTGAATCATGCAAAGCCACATCAGTAGAGTCAGTGAATTCAAATGTGGAGGTGGAAATAAGTGTAAATGGTCCCCTCAGTGATTTGAGTCCATAGTGAATGGCAAAGCAAACTAAGGAAAGGAAAGCTGTCTTGAATCTAGATAATTATAATTAAAATGAATGTGAAAATTTAAACACTGTGTGGGGAAAAAAAAAAAAAGAAAGATAAAATCGTCCAAACATTTTTAAATTAACAGTTTTTGTTGCTTCCCAGAGTCGGAGGGAGAGGAGACAGACAGCATGGCCTTACTGAATGAGATCCTGGGAGGTTTGTCTGTGGATGAGGGGGATTTTTCTCAGGAGTGGACAGAAGCGTTTGGAGAGACTGAGGAAGGAACAAGTGCTGCATCCACAAGACCAACAGAGGCCCAGGACAAGGAAAACTTCTTTCTACCATCACAGCTTTTGGACCAGAGTTTAAATAATCTGCAGTCTTCCATCTCAGGTCAGCCTGTGTGTGTGTGTGTGTGTGTGTGTGTGTGTGTGTGTGTGTGTGACTATACATTAGTGAACCAGAAAATTGGCAAGTTGGTCCAAGGAAGCTCTTTAGCTCTTTAAGAATAGACCATTTGGATTTTGCACCATTAGACCGATTCTCTCACCATGACCACCATGCAGAACCTGGCAAAATTTGCCACCATTAACCACCAATTAGCCATAATTTATTTTAATTACACATTAAGGAGAGATGCATATTCCTAAAAACTAATAAACACAGTTTTTCTTTGAATCAGTGCATTAGCAAAATCACCAAAAGGCAGAGTTAAAATGAGCTGCTTTTTCCTCCCCAATGGTTTCCACACAGGCAAAAGAGTGGCTTTAAAAGGATTTATCAAATCCACATCTGTCAAAGTAATAGCAGGAGGCTGTTAAAATACAGCAATTAGATTTCCTTACCCGTAGGTAATTGCCAACTACTTTCCATCTCCTCTTGGCTTGGATTCTCATCTGGTATTGTTAACTTGGTTTTGTGAATTTCCAGCTTTAAAGGTTGCAAGCTGCACACTTCTATAAAACTGCTTATAGTTTGACTGCATTTCCGAGGCACATATAAGAATCCGGCAATTCAGTGTTAATCATTAAAGTGCAATAGGTCAGACAAAATGATTTAGTGAGTGATTTACTGTAGCATGACTGAGATTTAACTCATGAGTCACAGCACATTACTGTGGGAATATTCCCACAATCCCAAAACAATCATTGAGACAGAAAAGTCCTATAAAGATATGCAAGATGGGCGAGGTCAAGGAGAAACAAATGATATCAGGAGAGACTAACTTGTGAGTGACTTTTGGAAATATACTGAGGCCTCAGTCTCTTCCTATGAAAAGCCGTTAAACATGCATTTTCTACTTTTAACTGGTACGACAGATTGAACCCCAAATTAAGGGAACACGAAACTGTAAACACCAACAATAATTAGACCCAGCGTTGGTAGAAATATAAAATCGTTATAAAGCAAATGAGCGGTAGTCAATCTGTGCAAACAGAAGTGCTGCAGGGGCTGACTTGAAATGCAAAACTGCTTCTTACAGTTTACAGGGAAACAGAGCGTGCCTCTTCTCTTTTTCTCCTCTCAAATGTTGGCATGAGGCTTATCACACACACACTTAATATGGCATACATATCAAATTAGACCTTCAGTAAATTTTGTGCATCTGCAGAGTGACTTCCAAAGCACAAGCCCATTGAAAGCTGTCTGTCTCAAATGCAAAATTAAATTTACATCAGAGCTCTTTTGCAGTCATATTCAGAGTGCATGATCAGGCTGTGAAACTGGTAGAAATGTGGAAAAAAATCCTTTATTTTGCTTCTAAACATGGTTACTTGTTCTTATTATTAAATACTGCATGCTGTAACTAGCACTCATTCTCAGGCTTGTAAAACAAGTTGCTGTGGGTTATCTGTAAGATTATGGCATGACCTTGACAACCTTGTACTAAACAGAAAGCATTTTGAGGGGATTTTGGTTAAAGGTCACTGTTTAAATTAAAAATTGCACAGGATCAGCAGCCAAACTGTATTTAAAGAAAACACAAAGTTTGATGAATTTTGCCTATAATAAAAGGTTTTAAGTTGTACTTTTACCAACATCCTTGTTATTGCTGGACTCTGCCATAGGATAAAATTCAGTACGTCTCTCGTCTTCTAGAATAGAATAGAATAGCCCTTTATTGTCATTGTACACAATGACAGTAAAGGGCTATTATATTCTAGAGCATGTTGGATTGAAGCAATAGTGGTGAAAGAGGTCAGCCCTTCAAGAGGCAGACAAGCCAACAGAAAGCAGAGCAGACTGATCCAAAAGAAGTCACAGAACTCCGGATGGAGTCCAAACTGGCAAATCAAAACTAAAAACGGCTCATCTTCAAAGGAAGGAGGAAAAAAATCCACATATTCCCAAGAGCCAAGCAATTTCAGATCCAGGCAGTAGGACTTAAAAGGCAAGGTCAGGGTGCAACTGTAAAATCTACGAAGTACTTCAGCTTATTCAAAAGTTCTGCTGAAGGTGAAACAACAATACACAATTAAAAACAAATTCTCCATTTGGTTAAGTAAGAAATGTACAGCACACTTCACTGTTCTCTCCAGAGCCATGAAGTGCTGCTACATGATGCATTTTCAAGACACGGAAAAGAATGGAAACCAAATAAATATGTCTGAAACAAGACGATTTCTGTTTTGTATTCACAAAATGTTTGCAATGCAGTAAATGTTTTGATTTGATGTGGGACGAGTCATCAGCTGTGTGCGATGGAGTGTAACGACTCGTGTTGGATCGTGCTTTTGCACAGTAACAGTTTCCTAGTGAGTAACCCGAATCTATGCTTCCTCTTCAGATTGGGCCCCACATTCGGCCACTCAAGCAACTGAGCACTCATCTGAAGCCAATCAGAGCACTCCAAAGCCAGCAGAGAGAGGTAGGCCTGGGCGATATAAGTCAAGACATTAGAAAATAAGAATGAAATGGATAAACTAGAAAGCCAACGCCAAACCGTCACGCTGACTTTTCTTAGTGATATTTACCTCGTCAAATCTTTTTACAGAGGCAGAAGGGACATCCAAAGATCTCTCAGCGTGGTTCAACCTGTTTGCAGACTTGGACCCCCTCTCCAATCCCGACGCGATCGGCAAAACCAACACAGAGCACGAACTTCACAATGCATAGTTGTTCTTCTGCATCACATTTTACCCTTGTAAGGGGTACAGTAAAATAAGTTTAAAAACAGAAAACACAAACAAAAACAAAAAAAAAAAAAAAAAAAAAAGCAGCCTGATCTGACTTGCAGAGGCCTCATGCAAGAATAATTCATATTTTCTTTCTAAAGTGGAACATGACAGGGTGTCTCAGGTAGACAGGCAGATTGTCTAGTTTCCTTAACCTCCTAGGACCTGGCGTCCACATATGTGGACATCACATTTTGGGTTATTTAGACCTAAATACTCAATTTTGCTCTACAAGCGCCTGATACCCACTTATGAGGACATTATACTGCTACTGTTTTATCAAAGTTTTAAACAAATATCCTCATATGCGGCTCTTATTTTTTCTTAAAAACAAAAATAAGGTTTAAAAAAAAAAATTGGTAATTCTTTGTTTTTAACATTCATTGGGCCCCAATACGCCCAAATATCAAAGAAAAATTAAAAATGCATGTCGTGGAAGAGCTCGGGTCTTAGGAGGTTAATATGAATTAGTAACCATTTAAAAAAAATATTTAACAAAAATTAACTTCACTAATTCACTGTGGCATCACTTGCAAATGTACCATGTTTCCTGGTTGCATGTATCGGCATATTATGACTACGTAGTTCTTAAATTCAGTTTACTGAGAAAGCTCACTCCAAAAGCTGACTCAAGGTGTCCACGGTCACTTACTGTTGAATAGCCTGTGATGACAGGCCGCTGACAAATATAGTAGTAATATTTTGCCTAACAACCTTTTGGGGTTTTTCCATGGAAAATAAAAGGCATCCGCACAATGAGCATGACAGACAGCCCATTTTGGAGCCACGCAAGAGGTGTTTTCAACTTAATCTTAGAAGGAAATACGACTAGAGACTGATTTAGAAGAACACCACAAATGTTCTTGCATAATGCCCAGTGTCATAACTGAACAACTAAAATAGGATATGTATGATTATAACTTCAGGAAGATGAGGTTTCTTTTAAAATTGAAAATCTAAAATATTTTTAGAGAAAAAGTTGATACGAGGCCAAACTACAAGGCCATAACATAAAAATGTTTTTAATAACTACAACAATATTGTGGTTTTATTTTGTTAAATAATTGCCAGTTTAAATAATGAGCTCAGAATGTGTGTAGATCTATGTTATCCCTGCAAAAAGCCTACATAAGTGTATAGAAAGGTTGAGATATCCCTAATATGGCTCTCAGGCACACAGCACTGGCTGTGAGCGCTGAATCACCAACTGTTAAACCCTTCTCTTTGCAAATGGCCACCAATCAGGAAAAATCTGGCTTAAAGCTAGAGTTGAATGGCTTGTGTCCAGACAGTAGCTGACCTGAAGGACTGTACCAAGGACCATTATACATAAGTAATACTCTGAGTGCTAAGCTAGTCCAAAGTTAAAAATATGGAAGTGGCGATGAGCACAAGTCCCTTTAAATCAGGCTGTAACCAGAAATGAGCAGATTTATTTCATGGTGGCAGTATTATGCTTCTGTCAGAGCCCCATGAACTATTACCAGCTTTGTCATGAAAGAAAAATGTAAACATTAAATTATTTTAGCAGGGATACCTCAGTACGAGTTGGGAACAAAACGCCTTTGACAGTAGCTGCCTTGGAAATCTCTCTCATAGCATTCATGCTTCATTTCCAGTTCTCATTACTGAAGATGTCAAACTACTGCGTGAGATGCACAATATGAAAGAAGGCAAATATGACAAAGATAAGTTTGTTTACAGAGCAGTGGAACATGTTGACTGGAGGAATTTTAATGCAGTTAAACAGAATTATTTAAACAAACTGAAGCATAATTGCCTGGCATTGATCAATTCAGCAGTGCAAGAATTTAAACTAAACTCCTTTCTCACCACATCTGAAGGTGGAATTTCATCCATGTAATCCAAGTCGTTTCTTTGATCAGACACAAGCTTGACTTTTTTTGTAAGGACTGATGATTTGTTTGCAAAATACAGTATATGTGATCTCCTTTTAAGTATAATCCAGAAGTGTGTTGATTTAAAACACATCAGTCATTTATTACTGCATGTTGCATGCCTTCTTTTATGTTAAGCAGTAAACGTGATTCAGTGAACTACATGTTTATAGTGATGTGACATTTTTCCACGTTCCTGTATTTACTTAGTGGTTACTGGTTTTTACGGGCATTATGCGCTGCGTGAGTGCATTATTCTAGAGCCAAAAAAGAGGAAACTTTAAGAATCGTGTAAATACAGTCTTATTCTGACTTTAGTGACAATGCTGCATAAACTGACTACATATCTGAGTAAATGCCTTAATCAAATCACACGTTAACACAGAGTTATAACCCAGTGACATTTTTTTGTTGCTTTGTTTCATATTCATGCCATATTTATTATTCACTCATAACCAAATACAGCAATTGCCTTACCTTAACTCCTATTTGCATATAAAATCATGCTTATGAATACTAATTATAAGGTTTTTTTCCCCCAGGTCATAGATAAACATAATGTATATCAATCCAAAGAGACTTTTTGGGGCTTTCTTTTTTCCTTTATTGAAAAACACACAAGATCTACATAAAAACGTGTAATACACGGGAGAACTGAATCATCGTTGCCTAACACGGCAATCATTTCTGAACGGCACAGTGTGCTTGTGAATATAATCAGAATTAGTATGATTAAAGTCTTGGAGCTGCAAGCAGAGCAAAGCACTTCAACTGCATTTGTTGCTGAATGTGCTTCACATGTTCTTATTTGTGTTTCTGTGCGTGAGTGGCAAAACGGACCAAAGCCAAAGTCATGTTTTTTTTGTTTTTTAAAATTATGTTATGATAATACAAACTTTGCAAAGTAACATCAGGCCACATCTGGCTGCATCTGTATATTGAGATAAACTGTGTTACACTTTTTTTTTTTCGTCCTTAGTGTAGCTTTACTTCAAGCAAAAATCGAAATTGCACTCTTTTCTGATTGCTTTAACTTTACAAATTGGTCTAAAATAAAAATAGTGATTATCATTTTGTTTCCATTTTAATGATTAGCACTTACGTTTATGTAGTTGCTGAGCTCTTTATTAACACAAATGAAATGCAAATAACATCCTGCTTCTTTGTGCTCCAGTAACACTGTATGATAGCAATTGTTAAGAACGGGTAAACTAACAGTTAACCTTCAGGCAACAGATATTTACTGTTAGCAAACAATGAAATGAGACTTGATTTTGAAAGCCAGGTACAACTTTAGAGTACAGGTAATGTTCATAAATATAAATTGTGCTTTACTTTAAAGCATGTATGGAGAGGTAGTGGACCTTGGTGCTTCTTTTCTCACAACTTCTTTTCTTCTTTAATTTTTGGGGGCAGCTTTAAGCACCAAAAAACTACTTGTTTAGGTCCAAGAAAGAAAAAAATGAAATAAAATTGTGGCTTAGATGGAGCTCTATCTCACCATCTTTGTCACAAATGTGGCCAAACTAATGACAAACTGCTTTATTACTAATGACTACAAACATTTGTCATCATGTCCTTGTTTGTTAACAGTAAACTACTTACTAAAGCTTAGTTAACCATCAGTTTACCATTTATCCCAGTTTGTTAAGTTATTACTTTGTGTCCCAAAACACATGAAAGGCCTCTCATCGTAATATCCTTTGGTACATATTTATCAAAAGGGCTGAAACAAATGCCATAATTGTCAGCATCTTACTTTCGCAGGGTCTAGCTTATGTCACTCGTTCCTTTTGCATGAGTTCTCACAGTTGATCAATTCAACAGCGGTCTCTGGAATGTGTCATAGCACCTGAAATTCTAACCTGAACAGGTTAACGCGCAAAGCATCCGTCACAAGGTGTGACATCAATCAGTTGATTCAGTCTGTATTAGCCTCCCTCTCTCCAGAAACTAAAAAAATAATAATGAAACATTTCTGCAAAAGACTGGAATGTCTTTCTGAAGAACAAAGTCAAACACTGGGCAAAGGCAACATAATCCGAGAGAGTACATTCCACATGACCTGAGTTATTGTTCTTGGTAGTGTGGGGCAATAAAACGAGGAAACGGAGGAGCCGTGTGCTTTTTGATTGGTCAGTTAATTGCTGATTAAACAGCTGATGTTTGCATTTTAGCTTACCAAGTTTTATTAGGGATCAAACTAGGAATGCAGGTTTCAGTCTCGTCTGGTGAGCCTCTCAGGTGAAGCCTGCACTTAAGTGACTGCTGGTTTCATTTAAGACTGTGTGCTACGAATACATTCAAATAAGTAACAGGAGGGAAAAGGGGCAAAGTATTCTGACATCCGGGTATCTTAAAAATATGAAACATAAATGCACTTTGAAATGTTAGCTTGCTGAACACTGAACAGCTAATAAGCTTGTTAGATAATGTTAATACAATATGTTTTTCTTGACATCGCTGTGTTTTGTGAGACTTTTGGATTTTTTTTTTCCTTTTTTTAAATTTTAAACTGCTGACACTAAGTAACACAGTCATTCCAGCAGTCGTTTCTACTATTGTAGAAAATAAAAAGCAACGCTATTTCTGTTACGGGAAGTGTTATAGTACAGAGGAGGCTAGGCTACGTTAGGGATGGGTGAAGAGAGAGGCTCTGCCCAAGGTTAGCAATAATGCCCGAACCATCAGACTTAACTGACAGCGGGACTAACACTAGAATCAAGTAGAGATTCTTGTGCAGCAGGACGCTGGTACCATTATCCTCCTAAGTATTTCTAGACCTTGAGCACTCCCTGCTGGCTAACATTAGGATTATCGGAGTGCAATTTTTTTTCCTTTTCTTCTGTTAGACCATACCTGACTAGTTGCAATATTTTAGCTGTAGTTGGTTTGGTCGAGGATACCTGAGGACTAGCTGGTAAGGAGTACTTGTGCTGAGCTGTCTTTCCCCACATCTGCGTCGGGGCTCTGACTGACTGTGCTGTTGTCTGAGTTTACACCGCCACTCGAGTCGGTGCTTCTGTCTGTGGAGGACGAAAAGGTAGCTAGTGGTACCGTGGGCATACTCGGGGTGACCTGTGATCCAGAGCTGCTGTTGCCATGGAAACCAGGGTTGATGGACGTGCAAGAAGGAGAGACCGGGGAGAAAAGGGAGGAGCAGAAAAGTTTAACTGGGCAGAAGGCCGAGCCCCTGGGAATGAAGTTCACCTTGTTTTTGTCAGGGCACGAGAACAGAGGGAAGCCCTTTGACTTGCCAGACCTGAAGAGAACAGAAGTGGTACTCAGTTACTTGGCTTGATATCTTTTTATAAAACTGTATCTGATTAACTGCTAGTTACTGATCCTAGACAGCCATGTTGCTCTCATCCCTACCACCCACAATGCAGATAGGCTTGTCTTTCTTGTTTTAATTCAAGAAAGCATAAAAATAATGTAACTAAATTTCAAACAAATACAGTTTAATTGTGTAGCAGTAACTGCCAGATATAAGGCTATGAGGGTATGTCTAAAAACAAACCCAAGAGGAAGACCAATAAATACTCACACCAGCTCATCAAAGACTTTGACCTTCTCGCAGCCTTCTGGAGGTTCCCGTTTGAACATGTAGCTGTTGTTAGGTTTGGGCGACGTGGCAAACTTGGGGAGAGGAGAACTGCACAAATTGTCTGAAAATACAATAAAAAAAATTAAAAAAAAAGAAACCCGTTTTGTGCTTTTTCTTTTTGGAAAATGATAATGAGACAAATGCATGAAATGTACATTATACATGTTGGCTGCAGATTTTGAGGAGCTGCCGGAAAAGGCGCAGTAGTGCGTCCTCAGTACAAAGCATTTGTGGAATCATAGTTTCTTTATTTGTTATTTTTGTGGACACCAAAAGAGGATAAACTTAGTAAGCTTATCATGGAATTCTTTGGAAACAGACTCAGATAAGAAAACAAACAAGACTGATAAAGCACATCTTTCTTTTTCCAATGTTGTTTTCCTGCCTATCAAAAACAAAAAACAAACAACACACAACATACAACAAAACTCTGATTTTTAAATTTTGTTGCCGTCATTAAGAACTAATTTTAGAGGTGTGTAAATGTTTAGTAAGGGCTCCTCCTTAGCAGTATCAAGAAACTTGAACCAGACTTCAAACCTGGTTAAGTGAACTGCGCCCGTTTCACATCTCTGATTTAAAAAAGAAAAGAAAAACACTTCGCATCACATGCATGAAAGGGACGTCACTGGAGGCTTGTTTTGCTGACAGGCTGGTTCACCCACAGTCTCTAAAGGTGAGATACTGCAAGTCCTTCCTGCTGCAGGCAGACTAAGCAATTAACTCTCTGCTCTCAGTACAGTCTCTCAGCAGATTAAACACCAACATTGGTATCGTCACTCTTGTGCTATATTATGTAACACACACACACACACACACACACACACACACCTTCTTCGGCTTATCAAATTTAGGCCTGCCGAGCGCTGGAGCCTATCCCAGCTGTCTAGGCAAAAGGTGCCATAACATGGCCTTCAACCCAGCCCTGCTCCTTTGTATAAGCCCAGCAAAATGACCTGGATCAGGCTAGTCATGTGCATAACGTTGACCAAACTATCAGAAACAGACTCCATGAGGGTGGCATAGAGTCTAGATATCCTTTACTCAGCATATTCATCAGATTTCACACATTTGCCTCAAACCACAAAGGTTTATATAAGCTTTGAATATTGCAAACATGCTACACCTGTTCACTAGTGAAGACACACCTTTGTCAATTTCCTCTGCATAACAGGGGCTCCCATCAGGTGAGTGTAGGTGATCAGAGCTGCAGGGACGGGGCGATGGGCTGGATTCACCACTCGAAGGAGCCTGTGTGTCTGTGTCACGTGTGTCCCCGCTGCTGCTGTAACGATGTGGAGGGAAGGGGGCACGGCGGCCATCTACCACATCCATTGTCTGCGAGGTCAGAATGCATAAGAGGTGGTGAGAAGCCAAGCGGTTACACACATGAATCCTAATATGAAGACAAACTCATAACCTCAATCTTTTCCCCAACACCCTCAAAACCATATGGAAACTGCTGAAGCCACCCAATGCACCCACCTGCTAACTCCCCGAATGAAATAATTCTAGGTGAAAAGTACCAGCTAAAATGCCCTGAATCTAAAACTTAAAAAGGCCTCTGGTGTATTTGTCTGGGTGTTTAAAGGGCAATTGGAGAAGCAAACACCACAGCAGATGGTAGTACTTGACAGCAGATGAACAGTGTGATGTGCAGAGCGTTCTGCTTTGGCACAGCTGATTCAAAGGGGAGACCAGGAAAAAAATGCTCTGTGCTCAGCAGGCTGTAAATCTGTAGTGTGTGTGTGTGTGTGTGTGTGAGACCTAAGAGTAGAGCTTTACAGACCTGCCAAAGTTTACTAGCCTGCACCAGACGAGATTTAAGGCCTCCTTTCCTATGAGCGATTTATTTCAGAGTGAGTGAGAATGTGTGTGTCTGGCTGCATGGTGCTGAAGCGACTTTACAAGCCTGTGCACGTGTAATGAATTTTAAGCATAGCCTAAAAGTTGTTTAAATCACAGGTATACAATAGTTGTGCATACAAATGGTGAAGTCTGCCTTTGCATTTGGTGCATTCCTTACATGGTCAACGTTTATTTATCTGGTTTAAGATTAAATTCTAGAGCTCATCTTTGCAATTATGACTTTTAAAACATGTTAAAATCGTATCTAAATATTGCGTTTACACAGTGACTGCTTGTTATATGTAATCGAGCAGGGTTTGAATGATGCATAAAAAAAATGTATTCTATGCTAATTAATTCATTATAATGTAAACACAAAGGTTATTTTATGTTAAACAGTAACACTGAATATAAACTACATGAACACTGACTCACAATGACCCTTGTAAAAGTGTGATGCAAGTGTGTAGGAGTTGCAGTTGACAGGGCTGGTGTGACGTAGAGTCTCAGCACAGCTTATGTTTGATCATGAGCTGTTAAAACATCTCATGATCAACATCTCACAATTACTGTACATGCTGGTAAAGTCACCTGCACTCACTGATTAAAAGACATCTTCATTACTGTAGGACAAACAAACAGGTTTCAGTTGTAAGCTGTTTCTGTGATGATAAAGATAAGTTCTTCATACCACAACAGTATTTACTTTGAAAAGCGCTATACAAATACAGGCCATTTACTTGGCATGTTCATGGTGATTAATTTACTTGTGTCTTAAACTGGAGACAGAGAGACAACCTCCAAACAATCTGAGAACTCTCTAAAACAGATAAAAATGAGCTCAATTAAATGCTGTACATAAAAATATTGCATGTGTATTAAGAGTCATGTGAATCTGTTAATCACTTTTGCATCCTTAATGTCTCTGAAATATAGGGCACTAGACAACATACACATCTGCTGTCAGATTGAGTTATGGAGTCTGAATTTAATTTTTTAATAATTGAGCTGTTTTAATAAAAACTATGCTGTGCTTTTTATTATTTTCATGTAAAATGACGCCACAGAAGTTAACTTCGAGGTGACAGCTGATGTCAAATCTCTAATACAGTTTAGCTGACTTTTTTACACGACTACAAATCTCACCGAATGTGTATCAGAAGCAGAGCGAGTAGTTGGCATGGGCCTTTTATTGTGAAAATTAACTAGATTCCTGTCCCCTCCAAATCGTCTGTGTGCAGCTTGATGCAGCTTCCATAAAAACTAAATCTAGCACTATATTATCTCTGTGGAGCAAAGGAACACTTCTGGGACATTTCTAAAATACTATGGTGCGTCTGATGAAACTGCAAGCATTGCCCTGTGAGGGTGCAATAAGTGCCAGCACCCACATCAGAGCTGGAATCCAAAGCAGCCACACCAAGTGTATTTCCAGGGTTACCCACATAAACTTCGCTTTAGATATAATAAAGGCCACCGCAGTACACGAGTGCAATCGTCTCACTGGTAAACAATGCCATCATTTTGAAAGTTCATTTGCAATTGAACCACTAGACCCAACCCTTCCTGTCTTGTGTCTCCCCATCGGCAGGTAGACCAGGCTGTGGTGATATGATGACTATCAATATCAATAAACTGACTTTCTAGAAAGGTTGGATGGACTCCAGCTTTACCTTCCTGTTCTGCAGCTGTAAGCAGTACTCCTTGTTCTGCTCTTTGGCTAATTCATGTGCCACTACTTGGAGGCTGTAGAGCAGCGGTCCCCAACCTTTTTTGCGCCACGGACCAGTTTAATGTCTGACAATATTTTCACGGACCAGCTGTGTCGCAAATAAATACAACAAAATAAAACTGGACAAAATTGCGGTATTTTGTAAATATTATTATTATTATTATTATTATTATTATTATTATTATTATTATTATTATTACAATAATAATAAACACAAATTAACAGTGTAATTGTGTAACTTTATTAGCAGCGTCCTCCTGAAATGCACCAACAACATCGAGAGTAACATCCTCCTCTCTGCCCCTTATTGCTCTCTGGGCGCTATGGTAACGCGTAAATATTTCTTTCAAAATAAGACAAATACAACACAGGAAAAGACCCAGGGAAACCAAGTTAACAATAAAAACCCTGAAAACCATAAATTTCACACCCGAGCCTCAACTCTTGCAGCCCGGTACCGGTCCGTGGCCTGGGGGTTGGGGACCACTGCTGTAGAGCAAAACAAGGACTACAGTCAGCAGCTGCGTTCCAGTATGGTTAGGTTACAGCCTATGCGTGGGATGATGGAAAGGCAGGAGATTAGACTTTGTAAGTCACAAAGTTTACAATTTAAATATGTGCAAAGAAGCACCTTATAAACAGCCCAGCCCACTTTTTAGCCCACTGGAATGCTTCATTTTAAAGTCTGTATGGCATTAATCTGACATTTTATCCAGCTGGTGAATGATAAGATTTCACAGCATCTGCAGGTATGCAGTTCAACAAGCGCTCCAAATCATGTTGAAACATAGCTTGACCCATCACAGGTATGGGCACACACCCTACCTGTATCCCCTGCTCCAAGTCCTCTCTGATAAACACATTTTCTAGCTCATGGTTGATGCCCTCCACACTGCTCGGCACTCTGCATATGAGGGATTTTATCACAGGCATCGTGGTCGAAGTTGAAGTTGCCTTATACTGAAATGAGGGGAAAGGAAAAAAAAGACAAAAAGGAGAAAACATGAACATTATGTACATGTCAAAAAAAAGAAGAAAAAAAGAGCTTTGTATACTAAAACACTTCACTTGTCACATATCAAACTAAATTTGTCTTGGCATTGTGGGTGCAGACATTCAGTTTGTAGTTTACATTTAAGCATATCATGGTTTATGGAAATGTTCCTACAGCAGTTGCAGTGCTGAGCATCTGTTAATGAATGAACTGCAGCCAGTAGAGAAAGGGACATGCCCAGACACAGTTCTCCTCTGCTGTCTCCCTTTTACTTTTGATACAACTGGTCACAGAGGAGATTTATTAACTAGTAGTGATGGGATTTCCGGCTCTTTTTAGAGAACCGGCTCTTTCGGCTCGGCCCACTAAAAAGAGCCGGCTCTTTCGGCTCCGAACCGACTCTTCAGGTTGTTTTGCTGCTTTAATTAATTTATTATTAACAACAATATGAAATTATGCACAAAAGGAATTACTAATGTAAAAAAAAAAAGAAAAAAAAAGTGGTTTTATTTATATATAAATATATACGGTGGCTCCTAGAGACAAAGCACGTACAAACTCCAAAACACATTTCTAGCATTAACTGAACTTCCAAAACAGAGCTACCTAGATCACTTAAATTACACAATTGAAAGCATATGTGTATTGTTTGTGTATTTATACACAAGTACTCATATATATTCAAATTATTTAAAAAAAAGTTAATTTTTTAATGTTAATTTGGTGTGTGTTATTACCACACACCAAATCCAGTCGTTGGTACTTGCTGGCTTGTGTACCGACTAGGTAACAAAAACTCAATACTGCGCCTAGCATCCTGGAGCACTTCTGTTGTCTTTTGTACGTGCTTTGTCTCTTGGTGCCACCGTAAATATACTTTTATTTATTCACTCAACATAAAATGTAATAAATAAATCATAATACAAAAACAAACTAGTCACAGTTCAACTTTTAACTATTTAAATTTTCAGCTTTTTCCTTTTACAAATTTAAAATGAAACAACACAAAACGCTGCAAACCACAACACAATTAAATATAAATTAAAATATGAAAACAAAAAGAAAATGCACATTCTCTGTCATATGGGCCTGCATGAATAAACTTTCTGAATACTTTATCATCTGCAACTGAAAATAGTTTTGGATGATTACTATACCTTTCTAATGTGACTTGTTGTCCCTGGCTCTCTCTCTCTCTCTCCCTCCTGCTATGCTCCTGTGCTACTGTGGGTGCAACTACCGCCCCTCCCCCCTCTTCCCAGCACAAAGCACAAGGCTCGCGTGCAAGTCAAGTGGAAAAAAAGTGCGAGAGAGAGAGAGGGTGAGAAAGAAAAAATAAAATCCACAGCTCGCGATAAGGAGCCGGCTCGCGTCGTTCACGTAAAAGATCTGGCTCTAAGAGCCATTTCGTTCATGACCGACACATCACCAATAACTAGGCGTCCTCAGTAAGAGTCAGAGCAACATTGATCATAAAGGTATCATTAAGATGAAACATTGCCTTCACAAAGTCTAAATCTTTCTCAAATCATTTTAATCAATACCTACTCCCTAAAACAGCTCGCCTGGACCCAAAATTGTAACTTCATAATGGTCATTTTATACATTACTTTAAGTTGACATACAACCAAGTTAATCATTTAATCCTGTTAACCGACTAATGTAGAAAACAACCTTGCTCTTTTTCCTATCTTTGACAGTTGAAATTCAGGTTGGTCTGCCTTATTTGTGTGGGTTTTTTTCCCCTCAGCTGCTAAGCTGCCTTATCATATCGCTGCTGTCAGCCTAAAATCCTGCATCACATGTGTGGGGTTAGTTAATGTTTTCACCTGAAAGCAACAACCCACATAGTCAAAGCACGAGTACTGACAAGCGTAGCTCACCTGTGGCTGGCATGCAGTGCCATGCTGCGCCTGTTGTGGGAGCTGCAGAGAGCTCTGCTCCCTGTCTTTGCTCTGCCGGTTGACCTGTTTGCCACGCTGCAGCTGTAGCCTCAGTTTAGCAATCTGCTGGAGGGGGGAAGAAAAAAAAAAAAAAAAAAAAAAAAAAAAGCACAAGCACTTCAGTGAACGACTGCTCACAATGGGAGCCGTGAAGGCATGCGAACATATGAGTTAACCATTCCCATGAGTGAACTGAATGAGGTCAGGAGGTGAAAAGCACATTTCCTCTGATGTACTTCACTGTCAGCAGAGAGATAATACTGTGATTAATTTAAGTTATTCCGCAACTGTGAGAACACAATCTTTGCCAAAATACAGGAAAACCATCTTTGACTCCAACTGATTTCAAGATGCCTGGGAGGAGTTATATTCACTGAAATATGTGCAGTGTACGGCCATAACAAGTAGAGATATCAGTGATTAGGTGACTACTCAAAGGTTTCTTCTAACACAGGCTTTATACATTTCTCAGTAAGACGAATTCAAAACAAAGGGTGTAGACACTAAAGTCACGGGACTGTGGTATAGTTCTTTTTTTGCTAATATTAGAGTTTTAATTTTGGTGTTTACACTTACATGATTGTGTTTACACTTCAAGATCATAAAAGTGGTACAGTTTGTGAAGATTACCTTGCTTACTTTTGATTTGTCTGTGACAATCTCAAAAACTATTTAAAAAAAAAAAACCAAAAAATAAAAAAACCTTGATCTTCAATCCCAAAGGGAACCATTCATGGTCCTAACTTTTGGGCTGGGCTCCAAAAAACTCAGATGCTATACAGCCTGAACTGCTGATACTACCACTGCTAACATTAGCCACACTCAGCAAACTGATCTGGCATTGTGTGTGCGCAACGTTACACCACAACACTTTAACAATACCATTTAGTTGTCAAAGAACGTGATTAACAGTTTAAATGTCTCTTCAATATACAGAAAATATTTGAACGGTGGTTTTAAAACTGCTCTTTAACAGACAGACAATATCTGCACAGACATTGTTTACTCTTGTCTATTAAAGCGTGCTTAATTTTACTATTTTCTAACTTGAGTGGATTTAGTCTGACGTTATTCCTGCCAGCCAAGTCAGTCTTCATGAGTTGTACGGTTGCAGATCAGTATACTGCATAACACCAGGCTTGCAAGTCTGATAATGAGACAAATTTAGTCAATGGGTGTTTCTACATCTGGTCCAGCATCAGCCTAAAAATAGGATACCCATTGTGAGATGCAGTTGTGCTATGCAGACAAAGGTGTGGTCTTCAGTGCTGATCTTGTCATCCTGGCAACACAGTCAACAAAGAAACTTGCTCTTCTCATAGATGTCCTCCCACATATGTAATCGCAGAGGTTAGAGCACTGGAAAGCAGTTCACTACATTCACTTAGTGACTGTAGCACATGATAATGACAAGTCCAGACGATCCTGATGTAATCTCAGTGGATGTGAAAGAGGGTTTTCCTGGCTGTGCTATCCCATTGACTGTACAGGCCAAGGCAAAGGGATTGTTTGCAAAAAGACAAGCACTAAACTTATCTTGTGGCTCTGGCTTCACTCTGAAGAAACAACAAAATCTGCAAAGATGGATCAGATTACAGAATTTGCCATCAGATAGAAATGCTGTAAGCTCATAGCAGAGAAAAGATTTTTTATCAAACTCTTGTGGCACTTATGAAAGTTTCTTTATCCCTTTTATTTTATACCTGTTAACAGTGCAACACGAATACCAGTTGTTGACAGTAAATAACTGTCAAATTAGAAGTGTGAACATTCAGACTTCTGAAATAAACCACAGTCTTGTTCTTGTTAGATCACATGCTATGAAGAAAAAAGTAAAGCCTGTTATTTAATAGGACATCTCAGTGCTGACCAATGAAGCACAGTAGTAGTGTGGTGTGGAATTACAAAACACATGTCTGAGCTTTATGAAAGTTGGAATGACACCAACCTCATCCTTTCAAACTGTGGACAACTTCTTCGGTCAACACATCTGTGTGCCATTAATATTTTGGAACTACTTTTGGACTGGAAACAGAAACTATGAGTGTCCATTATGCTCATATTTTCTGTTATGCTCAACAGAAAATATGTTCTGCTCAATATAACATCTTCAGTGCCTCAGTTACCCCGACTTAAGTTGTACATACCCAAAATGAAACTATATGGGTGTTTCACCCTTGAGAGGAGCTCCTGCACCATCTCTCAAAAACAAGAGGCCATAATGAGATGCAAAGGACACAGCTGAGTGAGGAACAGGGGGAGAAAGAGGATAAATTTAGACTGTGGTCTGAAGAGCTGGAGACCTTATAATGCCGTGTGGTCGCTTGGTTGGCCACCATGCCTGGCAGACAGAAAGGAGTGGAAACCAACCTTAAGGAGGATAATATTTAGTCTGACCACAGACCCTGACAAATAAAACACTTGAAAATGATATGAGCCTCAAAAACGACAAAAACATTCTTTCCTCTTGCTGAGTTAATGTATTCAGCTAGCCTGGGTGGATAGGACATTTTCTGTGGTATGAATTAAGGTTAAAATGGACCCATTACGCTCATTTCCAGCTTTATATTCTTATTTTTGGACTCTAGTGTAGCTTTGCGTGACTCACATTTTAAGCTAGTGGTCATTTATCTTATACTAGGTCTTGGTGCAGCCCCTGGGATGATCCACTATCCGAAACAAACAATTTAAAGTTTCCTACACCCTCCTTTTAACAAAAATCTTCTGATTGGTTGTCCTTTGCAAACACAATCTGAACAATCTGACAGTAAGAAAGAAAAACACGACAGGCAAAACTACCTCTTTGAGATGGTCTGCGCTACCCCAGGAGGCTGACCGCTGGTGAGGACTTCCCTGATCTGCTCCATCATCGATCCAGAGACCCGGAGTCTGAAACACAGATATATACATGCTGACACAAACTCAAACGTTGCATAACTCATCATTTCCCCAAAAAATAAATACATTTGCTAGTGATATGCATTTCAAATGTACCGTGACCTCCTGATAGCATGTCTTATATTACACAGGCACGGAAAGTCCAATGTTGTGTGCAGCTGTACTGCAAAAGAGCATGGGTATGTGCAGAGGGTATCCATCCATACGAGAAAGTTTTATTTAAGACAAAAATGTGCTTCTTCTCAATAATCTCAATTATCTAATTTGAAACACCTTCGACACAGGTTTGATGTGTAAGCATTTCCAGGCACTGGCTTTAACTACAAGATTGTTGACCTTAACACAAATATAAACAGATTCTTTTTTTTTTCCATTTATCCAATTCCAGGTCATGGAACATCTGGCATAGGCTCCAGACCTCGCAAGACCCTGAATAGGAGAATAGGAAGATGCAGGTTTAAAGCCAAATGGATTGAGCAGAGGCTAAAGAGTGGGCTGGCTAGCAAGGCAAGGCCTTGATCTTAAATTAACATCTTCAGGGTTTCAAACAATGTACTATAACTGTTTAAGTACTGAATATTGTTGTATTTGTATGCATCAAATAAATTCTTGATATAACGACCTGCAGACCATCTGATTATGTGTCAGTGAGCGAAATATGCAGCTGAATGGTGAGATTAACCAAACAATAGAATGTTATTTATATTACTTAAATGTACATTAAACTGCTACAAATGATATATGTGCACAAAGACATCCACATATACAGAATAAATACTTTCACCAAACTGTACACACACACACACACACACACACACACACACACACACACACCTCAAATGCTCATGCAGGAGAGGTAAGGAAATACAAGCTCACACGAAGAGCTCTCTTAAAACCTCACCAAGCACAATGATTAGGTAATAAATCCCCTCATTGTGAAGTCAGTCAGGATATTCGCAACAACAAAATAAATAAATAACTTTAAAAAAAGTCAAATGTTTAGATAAGCAGTTGAGAAAGATGCTTGCTAAAAGCAGTAATGATTGCCGTGTGTTTAAAATTAAAGTTGAAAATCTGGAATCAATGAAAGTCAGCAAAACAGTCATGAGATATCATCCCTGAGGAAACTGTTACATTCAAAAGGCAAAACTAAAGCCATTGCATGTTTGACTGCTTCCATTACTACGCCGACTTAAGGTAAATACTCTAAACCAGTGGCAGGGGACAAAATTCACTTTATTACTTGCAGACTACAGGAACACAGAATACAAGATGCTTAATTCTAGTCCAAAAACCAGAAACCTACCAAAGAAAACGTTGTCAGCAACAAAAGCATTTTCACGGTTTCCACGTCCGCACATTTAGTCGTGAAAACGTTTCTTGGCTCATGTAAAATACAGATTTGCTACAGCTGTGCTCTACAATGCCCAGCCTATACCAGATCAATGAGTCTACAGAGAAGTTTTGTATCATCAGTAAACTTTTTTTTTTTTTCGTAAACGTATACAAAACATTCCCTACAGGAGAGCACACAAGCATTTCTGTGTCATTGCACAAGTCTTTCAGATATGTTTAGCGGAAACAAGAAAACAGTTAAGTTATGCAAATTAATGCAAAAACAGAAACAGACTGAGGATGTTTTATATGGCTGTTTGAAACCACATACTTCCCCTTGATTATGCATATCAACACAGCCTCTGGTTCTCAAACAGCTGATGTTTTATCGACAGCACAGTAGTATGAAGCAACTTAAATGCCAGTGTCTTCACACTGCCTTATGTCTGACCCCACATAAACAGAAAACCCTCTATGGCTTTTCCAACTAACGCACAAGCCTTGCCCTATGATATGGAATATCACACTGTGAATAATGAGGAACACCCGTGAAGTCGTTTGCACTGGCTCGCTGGTGCCGGTTGCCTGAGAAAAGGACAGCGGATTAAATGAGCACTTGTGCTCCCATAAAAGGGACCACTGTGCTTGGCAGATGTGTAGCTAGCCTTTAGCATTAACATTTTGTGCATGGGCTTTGGAATCGCTTGTGCCGTTTGATGCCTCTGCCAAACACTGAGGGACTTGATGCTGCAGCGTAATCTGTTCATGCAAAATGCAGATTGGTTAGAAAGGGCACAGAGACTGTGTGGAGCTTTGGACTCGAGGAAAAACTAAGTTCTCACAGATGTTATGTGACGTCAAGGAGGACCTGTAGCTTATGAAATCTGCAATGCTTTTATTGGCACTTCAAGGTATAGTCTCATGGGAATGATAATTAGTTTGCATTTTTCATTAGTTATACTTATTCATTAGTTATAATGCACAGTTTGGTGTTAATTTGTATTACTTCAGTTATGGTCATTTAAACAGTATCAAAGGGAAACGTGGTGGCAGGCTGAAAAACTGAATGCCCTTGTCAGGACAGGAAGATATTTCATGTTCCTTAATCTTCTTGAGGCTTAAATCACCTTCATTCTGATTTGGGTTGTTCAGGGGTGGCAACACAGTGCTGCGACCACAGCAACCTTCAGTACAGGAAAAACAGCTTGCAGTAAAAATGATGACACTGAGGTGCGAAGTTGGCCTGAAGCTAGAGCCCTCACTGTTGAGCAAATGTTTAAATGTTGGCTAACAAACAAATGTAAGCGAGTTCACAGGTTCAACACTGTTTTCAACATAAGAGGTCTTCAAAGTGATTATGATTATTATTTTTTTGTTAATGATAAAGAAAGCTTATTACCAGTCAGTGGGCTAAAAGATGACACAGTGAGGTCACAATATCATCATTGTTTGATATCTTAATTTGCAATTTAACTTCCCCAGGGAAATCATAAGATATGGCAGTTACAAAAACCACAGGCTGCCTCTCTTTATTGACTCTGTTCCTCTCAAACAATGTGTTAACAAGAATACCCACCTTTATTTACCTCAGAGGGCCTTTTATCGTTTCAGCTCCGACTTCCAAGCCTGAGCAGTGTGCCAGGTGTGGTGCCTGATAATGTAATGCTCTACAGATAAAACCCAACTGTTACTGCAGCCTGTAGCTCGCTTCCTATTGTGAATCACACCCAAAGGGTTACATGCAGGCAACATCCTCAAGAATCCAGCTCTGTTCCAAAGCAGGAAATAATGACTGGGCTTCAATAGAATCACAGTGGAATTTGTGCTGTTTTGTTTAGATTACATGCCGAGACATGCGAGCAAAGTGCCGCTGCTATAATTTGGTGCATTTTAGAGATGCAGAGACCATGTTCTCTGACTGGGCGAGTTGACTTTATGAGTCAGTAAATCAAAATCACTACAAGAGACATCAGTTTACATTAAGCGTCTAGGAGGCAAACATGGAAAAAAGTTACTGATTAAAACGTGGCATGAGATAACATCCAATAAAGCACTCTAACACATGTTTCTGTCGAAAAGCCTTTGTACACCAAGGCAGAAGTTGGATGCATGTTAACATTAAGCCACCTCAAAGCACGAGAAACAGCATTTCTTTTAACGGTCCTTTGAGGCTTGCTCCCAAAGTGAGCCAATCCCATTAGGGAGTGAGATTTCAAGCAAAAATACCATTTAATTTTCACCAGTTTCTACAGAACTGTAATTCAATGCTAGCTTTAACTGGTGGAGTCTATGGTAGAACTTGTTTTCTTCTACAGAGAGCTTCAACAGCTTTTGTATTTGGCTTTGGTCATTTTCTAATTACAGAGTAGAAACTGTGCGACTAAGGTTTAACAAAACAACAACCAGTCACAAAAAGTAAATTCATCGACACTCGTTCTGGCAGAGAGCGCATCGGGTGGTAGCAGCGTATTATAGCCTGGATAGTTTTGTCTTTCATAACTTCAGGATGCTTCCTCCCGTATTTATTGTGTTGGTATGTTTTTCAGTCTTGATTAATTAAATTGTAGTTTTATTAGTCTGTTACTTATCACTAATTAGAAGATGTATGTGTGCGTGTTGCACCTTCACACTTTATGGGATGCTGATTGCTAACAAAGTTTGTTAGCCTTAGTTTATAACTTAGCATCTACGCTCCACCCAAATATGGTTACATCAAAAAACAAAATGGCAGCTGCAAAACGCCAGCGGGTGATATCACAATGGCTACGTCCATGTCTACCATGTACATGTGAAGTCTCAGTCAAAGAAAGAAGCTAAAATTCATATGAAGCTGTTCAAGATATGAAAATAACACAACAGCTTGTGTTGTACATTTTCAATTACACATAATGCTAATGAGTCTTTTCCTGTCACGTAGGCCCAGAATGTGCACACATATCAGCGGTCAGCTGGTCATCAGCTCCTGCACTGTGTGCAAAGTGCAACTTTTAATAGAAGACATGAGGCAACACAAACTGATCAGTTTTGTCTTTATGCTAGTTCATTGAGGTTGCCTTGGTGTGTCAGGATCCTAATCTTCATACAGACATTCTCTGTGTTCTGTAACCACAGGGCCTAGAGCACGCAGCCCTGTCCCGGAACAGTGATTAGCATATGTATGGGCCCTCTGCTCCTAAACTCCCACACAAAAGGCAGGCGGGCCGTGTAGCCACGAGGGCCAGGTGGTAAGCAGTGGGATTTCTCCTCGCTTCAGTCATAGCCTGGGGGACAGGTGCAAACAACTTCACCTCCATGCAGGGCTGAATTACAGCTCAAAGGAGAGGCTGACTTGAACTTGTGCAATGCACAACAAAAGAGTCTGTGGATCCTTTGTGTGCTGCTTGCTTCTGTTGTTGTCTCATAAAAAGAGCTGGGGCCAGGCACAACTTGTTAACAGGAAGTGGTCTATGACTATCCTTCAGGGATGGTTGTGCATTTAAGAATTTGAAAACATCCAAAATGTTTTTCATTTTTTCCACAGCTTCTAAAGACATAAATCTTAAAATTGGATTTTTATTTTAGCCTGCTTCAATCATATTTTTACAGGTAAATATGGTTAAGACCAAGGCAAACATCACAGAGTGCTTAAAACCCCCCACTAAGTCTAAAAGATGGGTCCATTTATTAACATTAGTCAAGATCCAATCACTATCAAATCAACTTTCCATTCTTGCCCAGTCTGTCCAGAATGCACAGGAACCCTGTAATTAGAGATGTTTACTTTGCACATAGCCAGCTCAAGAAACTTCGTAGGACCCACTCACCACTTCCTCAGCCTACACACAAAGAAATGCAAGGAGAATGAGGGGTTAAAGGGATGAAGCCCATGTAAATGAGCCTCGGCGGTCTTCATTCAGACACATGAAAGGCTTCTGTTAGCACAGAGGAGAGCAGCCCTTGTCATGATCATACATATTCAATATTCTTTCATAACAGAAACCCTCCCCCTACAAAAAAAGGCTCTTTGAGTGAAACTACATTTAACACTGAGTCACATGGCAAGATTAGTAGCTGATTATGTGTGGGCAGTTATCCAGGAATACTGTGGTCAGATTCAATGTGGAATCCATGCATATGCCTTATGAAGTGTTATAATGCATTAAAATGTTGTGCTTTCTGGGAATTTCAGACTATTCAGACAACTCTGTTAGGCCTACACTGGCAGCCGACTCCAGACTTCAACTATCAGATTAATATAACAAAAAAGTCTTTCGCCAGCACCAAGCACTATGACAGAAACTATGAAAGAAACCAAAAAATAGTTTTGGTACTCATGCCTGCAATTATTTGCTGGGAAAAATCATTAATTTGAAAAGTCCTCCTGGCCTCATGGTTGACAAAGTGGCCTTAAAATAAGATTATAATATTTTATGTCTTTATTTTCCAGTCAACTGTAAAAATAACTTTAAAAGGGCCATAAACCACACTCATTTAGACAGATATTATTGGGGCAAGTAATTGTGCATCTCCACTTAAATGCAGTATTTTGACTCAACTTTTCCAAACATTAAAGACTCTTTCACCGCCTAATATTGCACGTGCACGCAAAATGTAACACTGCAGAGGCTTAATACTGAGTTATGATGCATTAGTTAAAAAACGTCAGCTACTAATTTCCTTCTTATGTTGACTTCTCTGCTTGTAGTGATTTTTTTCCTCCATTGTATCCCCTATGGCTTAGAAGATGACTACAAAGAGTCCAAAATTCCAGTGTAAATGGGATTGTGACGTAATCACAGTTGTTACAACAAATGCAGTGACCACATACAAAGCTGTCTTTGACATCCAACAACAGAAAAAGAGCTAAAGCCTGAGCTTCAAACTCACAAGAGTAACTTGTACATATGTCAAAATCTTTTGAAAAGTTGCCCATGTTTCATTTGAATAGCTATTCAAATGAAACTGTTACAGTTAGCTAACTGCTGTTACAGTTAGCTAACTGTAACAGCATATACAACAGAACATTAGAAAATGATGCAAATATTTCCTAAATCAAATAATGATTTATTGCAGAATTGATTTCTAAAGTTCAGGAAGTTACTTTGGGCACCTCCTTGTTTCCAGAGAAAACCGTGTAATACATTAAAAAAAAAAAAATGTCCAGAGAGACATCAATTACAACACCCAGAGTTAATTTTGGAAGAAAATCTCCAATCACTAGGCTTAAAGGTTGATTAAATGAACGCCAGCATTGCGTAAAGGTTAAAGATTACTGTTGAAAAGAGTTAGGTTGAGTCAACCCCCGCAGGCCTACAGCCAAGGTAGGATTTTCTGAACACCGTGTACCTGTGTGGCTTTGTCTTTCATACAGGAAGGGTAGGGTCCATGGGAGTCCCGAGGCCACTGGCCAGTGAGGTATGGCCCTGTGATGGCGTCCAAGGAAGAAGCCCGTCGAATGGCACTTGAATTCCTCACCTGTAATTTGGATCTTTCTGCTGTAAAGTTAGAAAGAACAAAAAAACAGAATTAGACACACACGCATGCACACTGGCATCAGTGCATGTCATGATGTGCAATACTGCCAAACACCCTGAGGTATCTTTTGACTCTTCCTTGCTGAGTGTGTTAATAAGTTTCAACTGAAATGCTAACATTTTAGTGTAACAAATCACTTACTGCACAAATGCAACCAGGAACATGAAGCCATATTTTGAATGACAAACCAAACCCAGTAGTTACATTTTTATCTAGAAATAAAAGGAGCATGTAAATCGATGTCAGTTATAATCAAAACATACTGCTTTGATTATAAAAAAAGCAAAATTAAAAACAACAACAACAAGAAATGTAATTAAACATGGCTTCAACTAACCAAATGAGTTTGTGGACCAATATCTTCTAGTTTTGAAAGTATGGACAGTATGATGTGTTACAGCAGAGCAAAGAGAAGGCTTGCGACCTGAGGCAAATGTAAATGGCTGAGCAGCAGTATCTGATATTATGAGAATAACCTGCTATGAGCTGGAGCAGTTAAGCACACGCCACCCACATAAGAACTCATAAACAACCACAATGCACATCAATACTGCCTGCATCCACTCTGCATTCCTGCAGTGCCACGCAGTTAAAAACAAAAAAACATGTAAAGGTATAAGCTCGAATGTGCTTAGAGACTGCATTACATTTATTAGCCTCAATTATACTTGTAGTAATTTCTAAAAAAAAGCAAGTGTACATTCTTTCTTTCATTCCCATATCAAAAGCAGAGTAAAGGAACAGAACGATGAGCAGGAAATATGCTTGTTTACTTTACTCCTTGCCTGAGCAGGCTAGGGCAAGGGCCTTTCCAACAGACACACAGACTAAACTATCTCCATGAGGCACCTCTCTCCTACTAGAACTACACAGCCATTCATTGTTGCTCTTTGTTCGCAGAATACACAGGCCTACACACCCAAAGGTATTGCCTAAGTAAGCTTACTGGGCTACAGTAAAAATTCCCTGAAGCATTCTAGACAAAGGAAGCAGGCTAAATTTCTATCAATATTTATATAGTCCAAGCCAGTGCTCTCAAAACTGGGATTGTAGTTATTTTCCATCATTTCCCCACTTGCCAGACTAGAATAATCTCCCGATGAGAAAAAAGAAACAGTATGAAAGAAGCCAAGACATCAAAAAAGTCTATCTGCTGATTTTTTTCATGGGTAAAGTAAGTGTATGTCAAATTAAAGAATTATTTTCAGGTTGAACTTCCCTTCGCAGTTCAGACAGCAAGCTGTGATGAAGTCTTTGCATTTCCAGGATGGTGAATTATTAGCTGTAAGGCAAATGTGATAACAAACATGTAGTTCTCTTTTGCAAAAGTATAGGAGAACTGTTCGCCCCAGGTTTGCACAGGGATGCGCGAGACTGGTTGAAGAGAAAATTTGGTTAATTTAGCGTGATCTACAATTCTACTCCTTTTGCGTGACAATTGGCAGGTTTTCTAAGTCATATGATAGCAAATTGAATGCGTTTGGGTTTTAGACAAAACAAAAGACAAACCTAAGACCTTCTCAGGCAAGTGCATTTTAAGAATAAATCACTAAGTTTTCCTATTGGTACCAGGCTTAAAAAGAGAGACTGTTTCTTAGACATGGTTTAAGCCTAATCCTAGTTTAGAAACCCTTGTAATGGGACACTTAGGCTTAATCCAAGTTAATATGGCAAATCTACTGAAAGTGCCAACATGTATCAAAAGTGAAAATGCACTGACTTTACCATAATTTTTAAACTGACATCAATTAATTCAAAGTATTTAGTTGAGTTTGAAAAGCAAAATGCGCTCCGATTTTTCCTTTTTCCTTTTTTAATCACGTTGAGGCACCAGCTAAAATCTTATTCTCAACTTGCACATTGATAACAAGGATAATGGATAACCTCGTACTGGACATAAGGACATAAGCATAGGGGGGATTTTTATTTTGTTTTGAGGTTTGTTTGTTTTTAAGACATAAGATACAACCAGTTAATTAGTTAATGCAGTCTTGCTCAATTATGGCAAAAATAATCCCAAATACTTGGCAAATATAAAGTATCTATATGCTGCAATAGCAGCACCTTTATGTAAAAATACATATTTAGCTAACAAATGTCTTTCAGACAGAAGATTTATTTTAAATGCACAGTAGAATTGATTTACCTGCCTGATTAAAGCAAACTGCTTTATGTTAAAAATAAACAAAAAATAAATATAAAGCACCCTGGTGGAGAGTAAATCTGAGATTTCAGGGCGCAACAAAAAGTAAAGCGTAGGGTGCTGGAAGGCAAGACGACATCGTCAATATTCACAAGATACCAGAGATTTAGTTTCAACCATAATGAGAGGGGAAAAAAGCAAATAAAAATAATCACTTAACTGCACAGCCCTAAGCTAATATATATCTCCAACAACCCTACATGTGTAGAAACAGTTATAAAAGGATAAATGGAATTAAAGAAGTCTTTAAAACACTAAAAATGAGAACTAAGCTAATGGTGAGCTAATGTATTCATTGCTGTGTGTAAACAAAGTAATGCTCTTCTGTATGTACAGTTCAGCATAGGGGTGGGCAATAAAACGAAAAGATGATTATGACAAAAAACTTTTCTTCAGTGAAAATTTGAGATACAGTAAATATCATTTGTTTGTATTCTTTAACACTTGAAGGTTTTGAATGGTCAGAGTTAAGGTTTTCGTTTATTATATACACTGTATTTAAAATGCAGCAGCATGGAGATCTACAGTACATTTATCATGTTCAGCTTCACACATTTTCACTTAGGAGTAAAAAATTTTTTTATTTTTTTATTTTTTTAAAGTGACTTGATTTTATATCTTTATATATCCACTGACGGGGAAAAATTTTTTCCCCCATATCACCCAGTCCTAATTCAACATCCTGTTCCAAAAACATCACGGCTGTGATGATTTCATGTTCTGATTGTACTGTGGAAGCAAAAATTGTATAATTGTGTGCTAGAAATTCTCAAAGTGACATGACATTTAAGACACATTGATCGGATGGCGGTGCAATCCTGAATAATAAAAACAAAAACAAAAATAAAACAACCCGCTGGATCAGGTGACAACGTTTCAGTCCAGCTAGCAGGGAAACTAATATATAATGGAGGACATTAAAAGCAAAGTGGCAGCAGTTTGGATGTTTTTTTTCTTTCTTTGTTCTTCGGGGGGGGGGGGATTAATCTCGCTATATTATTTTTGGAGAAGCCTAGTTACATTTATGATAACAGAACGTGTTGCTGTCTGGTCCATATCTGGTACTTATGTGTGAAGTTATGCACAAAAAGAAGAAATTAGCATGACTATATATATGACAGCAGTATGCAGTAGATGCTTATTTATATGAAACTTCTGCAAATACAGATTTTTTCAGTTTTACTAAATAACGTAAATTTATATTGTTAAATATATGCATCACATTGTACTTTACAAAGCTAGAAAATATTTAACACAATATTTTAGATGAACCTTATGTTATCCTACATAAAAGAATGTTTCTCACTGTGAGGAAGAGAGGGAAAACCAGAGGTTATTAATTTAACACCAGTATCTGATCATTAAAAAAGCCAAGGTATCTATATCTTACCTTAAAAAGGGCGCGGGTCTGACAATTTTGAAATTTAGCATTTGAGCATGCACTGCCATTTCACACAATGTAAATGAATAGATGATAAAATTAAGTGTGATTGACATCCGAGTTTGTAACTGTGTGCGTCTTTGCAGGCTGAGAAATTGCTTGTTAGCACAAAAAACAGTAAAATAAATTCAGATACATTAATATAATATAAACATTATTCACATCTGAGTCCAGTGGGTATATTTCACAACAAGCTAGTATGAACAGGTTTGAATGCATCTCACTGAATGAGGAACGTATGTGCTAACAAATCCCCCATTTATGTGTGTGGACTTAAGAATGAGCAACCTTTAGATCAAAGTTGAGGGTAAACTTCCAGGTGCTTCAAAATGTCACATGCATAGAGATGAAAGTACAGGAAACAGTGCAGTTGTGCTACAGTCCACCGATTCAGACCACATTCATTTTCACATTTGGTCCTACTCTGCAGTTTGAATAGCTGACAATGAAGCAGGGCCATTTCAGCACAGCTGGCACTTTGACTTTCATTGTGGGGACAGTGTGGTAAAAGATGATGTCATGTTGGTGAACCTAAAAGGTCATAAGGTGAAATATAATACTCTTAACTCTGTCCACCATCATCAGGCTAAGATCTAAAATCATGTGAACCAAAGTCCATCACCACACCCGTGGCACTGTAAGCCACTTTGGACGGAGTTTTCCACCAAATGGCAAGCATTATGTCTATGAGTGGGTTCAAAGTACTACAGTGTATGAGAAATTATACACTGCACAGACTATTGCTGTAGTCAAATCACACTGAGCTGCAGCAACGAAAGATAAAGTGAACAATTTTTGCTCATATTGAGGGCTTTTCCTGGCTTAAAAGGGGCCTTTGCATGGGGATGACTGTACGTAAACACCTGACTGGTCTGCAAAGCAAAAAGTCTGTTACTTAACGTAGCAGAAGTCTATGCATTTTGCACTTGGACATTGGATAAACAAAAAACGTATTTTAGGTTTGAGTAAACTACCAAAAAGCATGTTAAGATTTTGTATACATGCAAAAATTTTGATCTATTAACAAAACAACAACAACAACAAAAAAAAAAAAAATAACAGCACAGTAGATCTTGTGTTTGTAAATCGAGTTTTGCAGTCAGAGGTAAGCTTGTGTCAGAACGTGACAGTTCTGCAGTAGCATCTCTTTATTAACAACGTGGAAAACTCAATTTAGTGCCACATGGCATCCACATTTACCCCAAGTATTCCTGACCAATAAATGCACTGTACTGGAAAACACCTGCAAACATGTTTTCAGGTGTCTTTAAAGAATTACTTTCTGAAATGTGAAACTATAAGCAAAAGTGAAAGACAAACTTAACCCAATCTCTTAAAATATTTCTTTTTTAATTAAAGTTCCATTTTCAAAAACAGATGACTGGGCTGTCTTATTGAGTTTACTGTGATTAGAATTTGCTGATCAGTGGAAATAAATATCACCTTCACATGGACACTATTTTACACTTTTTTTTTTCAAGAAAAAAAAAATCATCTCTAGGAAACACTTTCTATACATTTTATATAGTAAGGCTGGCATTACCACAAAAATAATAATGATGCACTTTATTTCATAAAAACAAACAAAAACAAAAAACTGGAGTTCAAACCCATTCAGAGGGCAAACTGGACTCACTGGTGGACAGGGTCTGGCCTAGGCTGCATGCTCGACACCATGTTTTTACACTGTAGATCAATTTCTATTGATATTTTATGTAACAGGGCTAAGAACTGGCTTAAGGTCAAGGACATAAAGTGCAGCTCTAGAAGACGTGAGCTGTGAAAAAGAAATCCGACTATAAACCCTGCCTTGTATAAGCGAGCAGTCAGGGAACAAAATCTAGACTTTCGGGATCACTGCAGACTACATGTAAATATTGTATACAATCTTGCTGTTTTAAATGGGGGGGGGGGGATCTCAATAATGCCAACAACAATTATTAACCCTTGGCCCATACTTTTCATGGACAACACTAATAACTGTATTTTTCAAATTAAATTACACCACTGACCAGGATGCCGGGTAATGCTAGCTAACAATCTGCTGGGAGGGAGTCTGTTGTTGCTTTGGGGATCCGTGAACACAGATGGACGCTGAAGAAACAACAGCAACAAGCCTAATTTTGCGTCATTTCTGGTCATGCTGCCTCTGTGCCAGACTTGCCCTGGAGGTGAGGTTTAGGTTGCCCCACCCACCCACAATTACAGTGAACCAGGTAGGACAAAGACAAGAGTACTCAAGACTGACAGTTGTTTTGCATGACGTCAATACAATTTGTGTCACCAAAAATTGTAATTTGTCCAAATGGATTTTATCATGAAGCTGAACTTCTTAGTGCTTATGTGGGAAAGTTCAGCTAGATGTTAACTGTGACATGACCCATTAATCCGTGAATTTCTCTAGTTCATGTTGAGTGTTTTCACCTTTGTTATCCTGGTGAAAATAGTCAGGGGGTGCATATGACTGTGACACTACTCGCACAAAGCCTCGTCAACACAAGTTACTATCCAGTGAGGACATCCTGGATAATCCTCTGACACTTAAACAAAATTTGCTTAAAAAAAAAAACAAAAAAAAAAACTTAATGCTTGATTCATTGTGATCTGAAACAGGTGGCTGAGCCCATAAACTCATCAGGAAAGTATTTACTGGGGTCAGGAAGGAGAGAGGTTTTTCCATAGACATTTATAGAAGCGCAAGTCTATTTGGAACCACAGTTATTGCCCCCTGGAGGTCGTTAAAAGAATGCAGATATATCTATGGTCAGTGTAAAATACTGCATTGGTGAAGCATTTCTAACGTAACAGGGAAATTCTGCATACTTGTCACTAATGAGGTAGGTCACACAACTTCAACATTAATGCACAACTCTGCTAGCTCACCAGAGCTACTTCACAAGGAATGTGCTACTGTGCTCAGAGCTCATAGCCCTTTTTACTCTTCAAGTGTAACTCATCAGATCATTCTCTAGGCAGAACATTAGACTACAGAGAGGCGGCTATATCAGAGCCAAAATTTGTTTTACACATTTTTAAAAAAAAATAAGTACACCAGTAATTGGGGTAAAAAGAAAAAAGCTGCATATGGTACCTGACAATCAGCCAATGCCCGGAAGAAACTTTGCCTGACACAAAAAATGATTTGACTTATGAATAATGGGCTGATTAACTTCATTAATTTCAATCTGTCTGCTTGACAGTTTACAATCATAAATGTCTGTGTTTTACTTACTTTTGTAAGTGAAATAAAAGTGACAGGCATCTTTGTGTCATATCTTTATTTTAATGATCAATAACTTATTCTGGCAATCTTATCGGTTATTTGTTTCAGTTGTTTTTCCACCTTTAAATTGATCTATATGCCACATTTTTCACTTCCGGGAACCATGAGACCACTGATGTGGCCTATAGTACTTGTCATCTGACGCCTCACAGGCGTGTTTGTACTGTGGGGTCACATCCGTGAACGAGGGTCAAGCCTCTATCATCATCACCACTGACATGGGACACTAGTCTGGGTTAGAGGTTGACTCTCTCAGAGGACCGAGGTATGCATGGCATGCCAACAGAGCAGGGGATCAACACCAGCTCAGGTGAAATTCACCATGCTTGGTAAAGCTGCCCACTCAGTTGTTATTGAAGAGACTTAGTTTCCTGCCTTGCATGCTACACTAGTCAAGGCTGGAGGTCATCTCATTCAAAGAACTGAGGAATGTGAAACACGTCACAAACATTAAATTCCACACACTACTCCATAATAACTATCGTGCTGCATTGAGAAAAGAGGGCACCCATTTAGTTAAAGGTAAGAGGGAAAATCTATTAGAATTTGACAAATGGAAGTAACACTGCCCCAGCTGCTGAGGCAGGAGTAGTCACTTAGGTTAACCAAAGCAGAATGAGCCTGTTTTGCCTCAATATACAGGAAAAGCAGGCCTTTCTTATCACAGAGTGTTTCAAACACTAGCTTGACAGAGCGTGGTTAGGAGTGTTTTTTCTACAAAAACACGGGGGCTACAGAAAAAGTAGTATTCTTTCAGCAAAAAAGAAAAAGTGCACTGCTGGCCTGTGAAAGCATACTGCTACAGAAAACCGGCCACAGGGTCAATATTTGGCAGGAGAAGCAGCCAGTTAAATAAGGTTTAGTCAGTGAAGCACTGGGTGCTGCCTAAACTCTCATATGCGCCTTCACTGCATCTCCATATCTCTTCCAAAGATCAACTGGGCATGACATGAAACAACATAAGGCTATCTGCTATCTCTGCTATCCATGTGCAAGGCAGCATGGTGAGGTTTAGCATATGTTCAGTGTACATGCATCTATGTATGGAGTGAGAGTCAGTCTAAGCAACACCTGACCATTTCTCTCGCGTGGCTTCTCCTGGGAGTGACGTGGCCGCTGTTATAACTAAAATCAGGTCTTTCTGCCAATTCTCTCCTTTCAAAAGAGCAAATAAAGTAAAGGAGCCAGTATTTCACTCGAGCCTCTTTATGACTGCATAACTGCACTTAAAGATAGGCTTAATGCATAAAACCTCCTTCAAAGCAAGTGCCAGCCTGACTCCAGACTTACTTGTTACCCACCCCAAAAAAATAATATGCGATCACATTTTAGCACATTTAATGGCATGACTATACACCACACAGTGACAACATAAGTTAGGCTATCAAGACAAGTCATCCTGAATCAAACGCACGTGGTGAGCATTTGTTGACCCAGCACAGACAAAGTTGCTGAAAATCTTGTTTTTACCTCTGGAAACTGGAGAGTCTGGGGGGCAAGACGACTCCTTATTTTCGGGGGACAGTCTTTGCTTAGCATTTGCACTTCCTGAACTGAGTGTCGGACTGGAGGGGGGGCTGGAGCCCCGGCTGTGGCTCGTGGCTCCTCCGCACAGGGTCTGTGGCCGCGTGGGACTGCTCTGACCCGCACGAAGGAGCTGGTAGGGCACAGTGGCACGGATGGGGTGCAAACGGCAGCTGTTGTTGTTGAAGGAGCCGGGGGAGCCCGCATTGCTGCGTCTGACCCTCGGCTGCTGAAGCGAGTTGCTGGGGGCTGACATCCTCAAAGTGACTGTAATTCTTATCGCAGTGAAAAAAAAAAAAACACGTACTGCCAAAGTTGCTGTTTTTCTGCAGAAGGAGATGGTGGTGGGGAGAATGGGATGGGGTGGGGGCGGTAAGAGAAACATTAGCTTGTTAGCAAAAAACAAAACAAAAAAACAAAAACGTTAGCTTCCTTTAAAAAAAATCAGCTCATTCGTTCGAAGAAAAAAGTAGGTCAAAGACGTATTATTACGGGATAAACTTACCTGTTAGATACTAACAAATGCCGTCGTAAGCTGCAAACACAACATGGGCAACTTTAAAAGTTGTTTTGTAATACTTCTCATTACGTTTAATTCGTGTTTTCCAGCTCTCTCTGCGTCTTCCCCATCCTGTCCACTCACTCTAAATGACAGTTCTTTCTACCAGACTACTGGCTGCTGCCTGTGGGCGGAACACAACGCTCAATTCCGAGCGTATGATTGGACACTGGGGGTGTACAGTAACGACGCTGATTGGTCCAAATTTATGTATTGCCTATATTCTCAGCCAATTATATCTGTAAATATTTTATCGGTACATTATTATTATTATTATTTTAATTACATAAAGAGCATATAGCTCCAAAATAAATATTAAAACTTTGAATTAATAAAAACTTGTAAAATGACTTCATGACATTATTCATTATTTTGTCAGCTTCAGATGTAATTTCACACTGAGGTGAATGGCTTTTCCTGCAGGCACCCTCTGCACCTCTTTACAGGCAGTGTAAACTTAGTCATCAATTTCAGCTCCACAGGAAATTTGGACCACCTCAAAGTCTATATTTATTAGCTGTTGTCCCTATATGACTCACTTAGCTCCTTATTTTATTGTATTTAGATTGTTTTGCAATCTAGATTTTTTTTTTTGTTCTACTTTCTATTTAACTGGCAATATGAGAAGATATTTCGATACATTTTGTCACATTGTATTGCTTTATTGAGCTACTTCACATCATTTAGTTTGTCACACCCAACCAGTTTATCTTAGCCTCATTTAGTGCACCGCCCACTAATCCAGAACCACCTTGCTTTGAGGAAACAGTGCTAAACACTGCAGCACCATACCTGTTAATCTCATTTATCAAGCGGTTTCCCTTTTGCAGAGGACTGGAAAGTTTATATCTATATTTGATTTTAAAAAACATATATATTTATACGAATCAACTCTGAGCAGCCTTGACCTTGTTTCACCTACTTTCCTTGTCTCTGTTAATGATACTGTGCATAAGTGACTTGAGAGCTTGCTTATGTGACTTGACTCAGGTCAAATTCCTTTTATGCTTAAAGATATTTGGCAAATGAATGTGTGTGGTGAGACGGTTGGTCATCTGTTCCTTTTCCAATGGCAGAATCTCACTCTCAAACTTCAGGCCAGCTCCAGATGACAAAACATCTTTATTCCACGACAACTGGCCAAACTACATTTGTTATGTTTAGAAACATAAAAGTGAAAGTTCCAGAAAAGCAGCCAACTTGGAGTGGAATTATTTGTGTGCAAGCTCTTGTTTAGAAAATCGGGATGCTCAAAATCTATTGGTTTTTTTGTTTGTTTCTCACCATCTTCCTGAATGCACAGATTCTGTGGGAGTTCCCATGGGAGAATAATGAGTGACTCAATGAACAGAAAGAGTGAGCATGTGACAGAAAACCCACGCTAACTGCGTCTATGAAACATAATAATGTAAAAATAAGCCTTATAAGGTTATGGAAAAACACCCCCATTCAGCAGTGCTCTAATTTGTCAGTCAGAATTTATTTCAAAGGGAAAACACAAGAAACAGTGAAAGGATGAAATTCCAGCCAATCTGTTTTCGGGATGCTACACGACTTGCCAATTTGTCAGCTCCACTCCAAAACAGTTCACAAAAGGGCACGCAGACTTATAAACCTCCCACACTGAGAAAAAGATTCTGGTGAAAGCAGCATACAGTAGTTCCTGTGCCCCCCTCCCATCACCATCACCACCTCCTCCTCCTCACTCCATGACTAAGTGATTTAGCCAGCTCTAGTGCAGACCGCCTCTCACTTACAATGCCTCCTTGGGTTAGTGACTGTGCGGGGAGGGTGGCAGAGAAAGAGAGAAAGCCCATTTACAATGTGGTTTACACACAGCCGCTCCCCCCACCACAGACAGCGCCCATCCTTGGATTGATGTGTGGTATGCATAGTTTTTGGGTGCAATTTGGACACCAGAGGGAGAGAGAAAGAAAGAGAGGGCAAGTGTGTGTGCACAGGGTGCAGGAGGGGGTGTGCAAGGCTCGGGCTCTGTTCGCTCGCCCTCTCTTTGAGTCAATAGTGTTCCGGCAGCTGAGGTTCTTTATGAGGGGAACAATCTGGAGGGTCTTGTCAGAGTGCCGAGCAGCTGCTGTTTTCTGGGGCGCTTCTTTCATAGACCACAGGCCTGGAGTGGGCTGGTGAATAAAGACGCACCCTCCCCACACTCTCCGCCTCACCCATCACCACTCCTACTTTCTCCAATTCCTCATCCTCCCCTAGCCACCCCACCCGCACTGCCCCTGCCCTCCACAATGCCAGATGCAGAGTGGCAAAGAGGAACATGAAGAGAGCAAGAAGACTGTTATTGTGTGCTAAACTCCCCACCGTCACCCGGGGTACCGTCCTTTACCCCGAACAATGCTTTGATGAGGTATGTGAATATCCTTTGTAACACAGACGTTATACAGTACAGCGTATTAAAACAAGAGCCAACAAATGTAGCTCAGACATATTGGCACCTGTGATTACATCTTTACATTCTGATGTGTGAGTGGAAAACTTTTTTTTTGTAAGAGATCACTATAAATCACAAGATTCCTGATTCAGGCTAAACTGGAAGAGGCTGAATGCAACAGAGCCTCTTGTGTTTGATTTTCATTAGCAGAACATCGAGTGTGCATTCGCTCCCTTTCGGTCATTGATTCAATTAGTCAGATCAGTCACACACACTGCCTCCCTTCTTAATACAGGGCTCAGTTACAATGTTACATTCACTAGACTATATAACTTAACATCATTTCATTCTATTCAATTCAAGCAGCCCGTTTAGAAAAGGACATCGCTGCCACCGTCGCCCCATTGTTGGCTGCCGATTGCAGAGGTGAACCTGCTGGTGTTTGGCCTCAGTTCCTGACAGGCGTCTCCTGTTTAGCTGCTGTCTGAAGGCACAAGATTCCCTGTAGTGTCCAGCTGCATGCATTTACACGTACACGCTGACACTGGGCACTCTGTGTGGTCTCTGTAACACACATATGAAGGTCGGTTAAAACAAAACATGCAGGTAAGTGTACAAAAGCTAGTGTAGAGTTTGCACAGCAAAAAACAAAAAAACAAGGCGACAACTAAATAATAATTTTTAAAAAACTAATGCACGAGGGAGCAGGCTCAAAAAAATTGTGGTAATGTAAGCTGCTCTTGTTCGTATTTGCGCTATTGTTCGTCCTCCAGGTTAGCTCCCCTGGCAGAGAAGACAGAAATCACAATATGCACAGACTTGGTTTCACTCAAATACAAAAACACAGTTAAAAACAATGAAAAACTAACAGAACTGTTGTTTGTGCTTCTGTATGTTAGCCTTGTTTTCGTTGCTTCGTTTGGGGTTTTCTTTGCTTCTTCCTCTTCATGGTGAAATCTGCCATTGTTCCCTTTCTTGTTAAAGCCAAATTTTAACCACACAGCATTCTACCTATTCATAGTGTCTGAGCAACTTCTGCCTTCAGTAAATTCCAGCAATCTTTTACACCACACAGCCGAAAGGCTATACAAAGGGAACAAAGACTAAAATAAAATTTGGTTTCCAGTGTAATGCGAGATTTATTTTTAAATTATTTTGCTCACACTGAGTATCTATTAGAGCTGTTAAAAAGTGAACTGCTTAGCTCAGAAGTTAGTAGGTTCAGGCATCAGACTGACTTTCTGGAACAGCCATCCCCTTCAGATCATCTGCCTCAATAACTGCATTTAAATCTCGACTGAAGCCAAATTTATTCTAATGTCGGTCTACGTCTAAGTTATTAACTGTGTCTTTTGTTGATTCTTTGTCTGCCCCCTCGTAATCTGTAATACCATTTTCTAAGTTGTTTCTAGGATGACTTCCTTTTTTCTTTTAAATCACATGCTGTGCACCACTTTGGTCAATGCCTGTTTTGTAAATCTGTTACATAAATAAATTGACCCGACTTGCTTAAGTGCTGCATATCTTTCAGCATTCATTTAATTTTTCTACCTCTTTTTTTTTTTGGCTATGATTGATTTTGTAAAAGTACCTCATATGACACAATGCAAAACCTTTTAGCAAACTTTAAGAGAGACTGTTCTGAGGTTATTTATTGTTTATGTTAAAGAAATAAAAACATGAACTTCAGCAGCAGATGCGTCTGAAGAGTTTCTGAGCACATGCATCCCTCCTACCTGAACCAGCTGAGCATGTGGCCAGCATGGCCACCATGTCGACAGTTGTGACACCAGGTAAACCAGTTATTAAACTGAGCCAGTTTGTTCTCCCTTGTCAGGTCCACTTTTTCATCTGATTTACCAGTTCCTGCAAAAAAACAAAAAAGAAATAAAATATCAGTAAAGTTATAATGTTATCCTATTATGAGCAATAAGGAGAAAAGGCTTGACACTAAATGTCCAGGTGCTACCTGTGCTTAAATGCAGATCAAAGTCCACACATTAACTCAGGTAAATGCTCAGTTAAGTGTTACAGCCACTTAAGCTGCTGCAAGATGTGTGCCTGTTACTGGAAATATCAGCTGAGCATCTGTCCACATAGTCCAGTTTACCTTGGCAATTGGAAACAGGTGTGCCCATGTTCATGAGGCAGAGGGCACAGCGTGGCAGCGGTTTCCTGCAGCCAGGGCAACTTGTGACTTTTGACTTGGTGGGTGAGCCGCTGACACCATATTGGCTGAAGCCGCGGCCTTGGTGAGGTATTGTGGAGCAGCTGTAGGAGATGGACTTCCCACAGAAGTTGCAGCTCACAAACACCTGCCAAAGAACAAACACAAAGGTCGGCTGATAAGACCCGGTGAACATGAAGGTAAAACCAACAGCCGCATGCAGACCAGCTGTCTGGATTTTATTTTTAAGGAAGAGTGAGATAAGTACTTGATAATACAGCAATAATTCCAACAGGCGTAAGAGTGATTATTGGAATTTCAGCAATGCAATGAAGCACTGCCAAGATTTAGCTTAGATGTAATCACATGTTAAAAACCCTTTAATACCAGAATCTATTGAAAAAAACATTAATTACTTAAATCAACCAATGTGGAGTATGCATAGTATCAGGAACAGATTTCTCCAATACAAAAGGAGAAACAGCACAGACTATACTGACTATACCACCAGGTTTTATGACAAGAAACAGAGGAGAGCTGTGGGTGT